ACTTGAATATAGTTCGGCAACGTTGCACTTAATTTCGTTCTCAATAGTACTGTTTTATTGGGTCAGCGGTTATTTCATTGTTCCATTTCGAGTGATCTCAATCGTACGCTAAAAAAGGTCGAACGTTCTCAATCGTATTACAGCCATATAAATATATCGATTCGGCAGCCATATATTATTATTATGTATATAATAATATATTGTATTATTTTTATTGTACTTGCGTGCACAACCGACTTTGAACATATCACAGTATTTTTTTTTTTAAATATGAAACCAATATTTTACTTGACAAAATTGTGATTGAAAAAAATATTGATACCTACCTACCACAAGGGTTCCGGTACCGACTCGAATGTTATATAACAATATATTGTATATTATGTTAAGTGCATAATTATTGTTTAATTTAATGGATTTTAATTAATCGTTAAACTTAATAACAACGCTACCTAACAAACTAGATTTTTATTTATCTCGTCTTGGCATTGTAAACGTATCTACAGTTAAATTAAAAATATATTACTCTAAAAGGTCGGGCCCTTGACCATTTTATATCGCGAGGCGATCTGCATAATTTTTTATTATTATTATTTCAAACATGTACGATGTACCTCTTCTGGTATTACTTTAGATATACAATGAAAAAAAAACATTGCTCTAGGGGATTCAGAAATTATAATATGTACCTACTTACGTGAACGGAATTTATTCCACTGAAACTAGCTACGTATTTATAAATCGAAATTCTAATTCGCCATAAGGTTATTTTTAGTTATTACTTATTAACACCTTTAATATTTTAACTACCGGTGATTTTCCTCGGGCACATAAGATTTTATGTTGTATCCAAAATAATCGTAATATTAGATATTATTATTATCATTATTATTATTTACGTCAATTTAAAATTGTTTTGCACAAATCATGGTTGTTTGATGAAACGTGAAAAATAACTTTTCTTCTGACATTCAGCTATATCTACACAATATGATAGTATCAGTATGGGATACATTTCAAGTTTCTATGGTAAAATACATCAAAACATTTTAATGCGATTATTCAAACAACAACCACTCTATCCGTAATTCAACAAACACACACAAAAAAAACTGTCAATACAATATAGGTAGCATAATACAGTTTGTAATTAAATTAGTTTGACAACTTCAAACAGTCAACAAAATGTCAAGGTATAATACCGGACTGTCGGCGTTAAAGTTTTGAGTGTAAAACTTATATTGCTTCACAGGCTTATTAAATTTAAAAGCATTTTGTAAATGAAAAAAACAAGAAAATATTAAACGTGGGCCCCATCCTGTTGAACTTTTTAAAGGGTTTATGGTACTCGGGGGACAAATCTAGTACGAAATGGTCTTATTTTTGGCACGATCGTTGGAATTTTTACTCGCGACAGATTTATTGGGGAGCCAGACACCCGTTCTTCACTCGGGTTCTAATAAGAAATTTCCTGTTGCCAATGATACACACCGGCTTCTCTCTCTCTCTCGCCCCCCCCCTACCTTCCCCTCACATCACCACCAGACACTCCCTCACTCTATTTCACTCTCCCTCTGAGTGTTTGTGTGTGTGTGTGTAATGTGCGTGTGTTTCTATATCTTTTTTTTTACGCCCGGTAAAAATAAACCAACTGCACGGCGACATTCCATTCCGAGGTACACGCTAAAAACGCATCGTCCACCGACGTCGTCGCCATGCATATAATCTTGTCACACATATAAATCGTTGGCCTTAACTCGGTATATTAACCATTCCTGTCTTAAAATATACAGAGTGATTTCCATACCGCAGACCATTCCACCGTCTCGTATGTGTGCTTCCTTTGGACATACGTATATATTGTGTATAGCTAATCGCAGATTATTAATAATAATTATACGTACTTAAATACGTTTGTATTTGTAATGACTATTCTAATTATATATTTTGTAAAAACGGCGCGACGTTTAAATGTATAACGCGCACAAGACGACTGTACTGTAATAAATTATTCATAACGATGTATCGGTAATTTATTTGAATTAACCGCACCCTGTATTCTCGAAATAAATATACAAGACTTGCTGGCTCGCCATCTTCGATTATACAAAAGTTCAAGACTTCTGCAATGATGTAGAAACTATTTTCTTCGTACAAAATAAATTACAGTTTCAAACATTTTCGTTTCACTTTTTTTTTATCAATTTGCTTACGTGTATAAATTTAAATTAGCCAAATTTTACTTTGTTTTTTCGTATTCAAAATATTGTGTTCTTAGTGTATTAGAAAAATTACTTTCGTTATTATAATATATAGGTATTCGCTCCTTCAGTACAAAATTCGTACCTAATATTTTCCCTTTTCATCGTTCCGTTCCACACTCTGCCGTCATGTTCAATGAAGATTAAGAGTACAAACATATTATATTATAAAGCCATATAGGTACTGTATACCTATACAAAATTAAAATTAGAAAGACCTAGTTTTCATTAACTTGGCCCAGTTTTGTTGAAACAAAGCACCGATGAGAAAAATGTATACATAAGTATGCCATTCGATAATAATGCATATTATTATAATTCAGTCGCTTTTCAGATTCTTGATTTATATTATGGTATTGTCAACGATTTTTCTTAATTGCATTTGGTTTTTTTGAATTCTTTTCGATACACATGTAAGACGACGGTTGCGCCGTTAGAACGAAATAAACAACGACACCAGGATAATGATTTATTGTTCGGTTACGACGTTAACGTGATCAGTTGTAGACGTCTTTAAAACGGTTCCCAGACGCGATAATCGATTTCTTTCGTATGTTCACCGAAAAACACTCGAAAATTATTATTATTATATTATATCGATACCGCAAAACGAATTCCAAACTTGTCGTTTCAACAACGGCAGTTATACCAGCTATTGTCCAGACGTCCAGTGCTTTTTGGTACCGTGCCTAATTATGCGGGGTTTTGAACGAAACGCTATCGACGGGTTTCCAACCCCCCCTTTGGGAACCGGTGAGGGGTGTGGGTGTACCGAAATCGAACATCCTGCCCGTTTTTCCTGCACTGCAACACGCTGCATCGCCGCCACCTCGTTAGCGCTATACAAATTCAACCGAATTCGTCTTATTGTTCACGCATCATGTGCTTCCACATTGTTGTGCACACAATATATATATACAGGTATATATAGGTATGCGGTATAGGGTTCTGATTGTAAATAATATAATATATAATGTAGGTATATAATATATAGGCAAATGATGCGGATTGTCAGGAGGTGCAGCGAGAGCGCGTGTGTGTGTGTGCGAGTTGGAACCGGTCCAAATATGGTAAATCGAGTTTAGTATCGGAAGGGTTGTGCGTTTGTGTACACGCCTACGTCTGTGTGTGTATATATAATATAAATATGTATACATATTATATATATACACACACATAAAATACATAAAGTATACACGTGCGTTTACGTGTGTGTGCGTGAAAGGTGCCGGCAGATCGGAATTCCTCTGGCTGGACCAATGGAAGTCCAGCATTTCATTTCGATGAGTCATACGCGTTGCACCGGTCCTCGCCCCGACGAAGACCGTGTGCACGTCGTCGTCGTCTCGTGATCTCAGGTGGCGCTACTAGGCGCACCGATCCGTCTGGTCGGTATTTCGGGTCCCGTCGACGGCCGCCGCGCGTATACGCGTTATGTTATATATTATTATAATGGGTAAGTATTATATTGTTATTATGCCGCCCGAACCATTCAGTAAAACCGTGTCGGAGATATCCGATCGCCCAGAGTCATTGATATCTGCGGGGGAATCGCCATATCATTTGAATTCCACGAGTTCGGACCACCTGGTCTTTCGTTTCATCTCTTCAGAGAGAGAGAGAGAGAACAACGTTCGGTTTCGGCGTACCACGACGTACAAGAGGTATCTATTAAGGTACCTAAATATTCCGACCGCATCATATCTACTCATTACTCATTAGGCACTGCACGAAAATATGCATCAAACACTACTTACCGCACATAGGTATATAATAATTGTGTGCGTCCCTGGATTTCGTTATCAGAGTAAAAAACTGTATAAATATGATCACGCGTGACCTCAATTTAACATAACACGTTAGAATAGCCAGTAATCTTATATTAGTTATTATTAAATACATTGGCGTAATGTTTTATTAGTTATTACTTATTATAATTATAATATGACTATTAATTATTATTAAAACACTATTAAAATATGATAAACAAAACATAATCAAACAAACGCGTTTTGATTGTTTCGTATGTTGATACAATACTTATTATTACGACAAACTGATTAGACTAACGGATTGAAATACAACTAGGAAACGAATATAATAAAGAAATTTAAACTCTGCTTGGCAAGTAGATAATACTCGTAGGTATCTAGTACCCACCTATATACAATAGGAATAAATTAACATAAACACGATTTTTAAATAAATCTACAATAGATGATAGCATTGGCGTCATAACAATTTTCTTTTAATAGGTACCCATATTTTTATGTAAGCCGTACAAACCCTGTCTAGAATTTATCCATTCAGCCAATTTAAGAAGTGGGACAAAATACAATGATATTGCCATATTGGATTTTAAATTTTGTGCTGTTCAAATTGCGCCACTATAGTGATAATATACAAATTTTGATTCCTTCCTGTTATGCTTCCAGAATAGGTGTAATTGCTATTGTCATACGAATGGTATTCAAAAGTGAATGAAAATTAAACAAAACGAAAAAGCGGAAACGTGGAGAGCGACAAATTTACTAAACGATATATTTTGTCTCAAATCCATTGAGGTAACAAGTCCGTGAGAGAATTATAATATTATAATCAGGGCCTTATTATACAGAGTTAAATGTTTATAATAAATGAGTACCTATATACAATATACATATAATATTTAAAAACTGTCCCAAGCTGTGTTCGACATGAGAGTCGAAGATAATTATGTAAATGTAAAATTCTACTCACGTTGTTTTGTATATCGGAAGCGTGGTTCATCGCGTACATGATGGCTTCGGATATCCTCGAGTGCAGGGATCTGAGCAGGTCCTCCAGACACACCGACGACTGACCGTTGTTGATGGCCGACACTAGCCGGTCGACGGCTTCATAGTATCCGGTCCACGGCGCGTCCAGGTGCGCAGTCTCCCTGGCCAGACACCCGCGGATCACGTTCACGCACAGCCCGTGACACGGTTTTGCGTCCTTGCCGTCGCACCACGAGCACTGTCTCATCCGGGTGAGCGCCGCCGAACACTGTTCCTTGTTTCCGTAGCCCAACCACGACCGGGAGTGCTCTTCGTCCACTAGTTGGCCACCGTATCTACGCCATACAATAATATTATTATTAAGACGTAAGTGATGAAATTCAATAGACATTTTTGACATTCAAGCGATCTCAATATTATACGAACGGTTTGCTGAACGTATTATTATCAATCGGTGTCAGGGACGCAGCCAAACGTATACAGTGTCTGGCAGTATATAATCAGCTACAGGTAGTGTAACAAAGTTACGGAACCAAGATACATAATATAGTTCGTAACTATAGTTGTAGCTATTGTAATAAATTACGTAATTCGTAGTTTTAATTTAAAGATACGTGTATACAGTATAGTATATCTTATTTGTTACATTTCAATAAGTAACATTTTGACAATATCAAAACCATTTTTGTTTTTAAAAATTGAAATATTTAATACAATGAAAATCACGATATGAAATTTGTTATATTTTTAAAATAAAAATCGATAAAAGTCTTTCCTTTTTAAAGTTTGAACAGACTATTCGATAAAAGTGTTATTTCATACACTGACTACTGCTATCTATGAAATATTATTATGCTCTAACCATACACATTATTATTATTATACTTATCTATATAAAACCATGAGCGTGCTCAGAATTTCTGGTAGGGTAGTCATATATAAGTATACAACACATTAACACACACCTAAATTATGAAAAATTATTTGGATGAGGTAACCTCATTTAACTACATTTACCATGGTAAAAAAGTATTTTACGATTGACTATCAATTATCATGGTAATAATATTGAATATTAAAGGGGGGTAGTTCGCAGAGTAGTCAATTGCCTACCATGACTACACTGTGCGCATGCTTATGTTGTTTTAGTATATTTTTGTAATAATAAATTATTTTTTAACTTATAAGTTATAACATATTAATAAATTTGAATGTCAATATTTTTGTTATAAACAATTAACTTAACTTACTCATTACTTATTTCTCAGGAATTTCTCATGCAAACAAATATTTAGTAGTGACATTATTTTCTCAAAGAAACATAATATACATACATAATTAAGTGACTTGTCACATTCAATGTAACTGTGACTTGTATAACCAGTTACAAACTTACAAATAGTCGAGTAACTAACTCATCTCTGTACATAATTAATAGGGTAGGCTCGATTATAGAACATTATTTTGGGATAATAGGTATATAATATTATATTTTATAGTTCCACTTAGTACAGATTACACAATAATATAATATTATAAAAATCGGAGCACCGTCGAAATAAAATCGAAAGACACGGGAAATCAGGTTTCGGGAAAAATCAAAACTATCGTTATCGTCTATCCATATACCTACGGTTATTACCTTAGTGCGTGTACGAGTACATTGGTGGCGGCGAACGTCCTAGAAATGTCCTTGGCCAGCGTGTAGGGCACGTCGCCGAACGGTTTAACATCGAACGATTTGCCGGTTAGACACTGAACGTAATCGTCGTCGAACTCGGTGGCGCCGCCGTCTGGTCTGTCGGCCGCCGCGGCCACCGTCCGGTAAACGACCGGAAACAGGTCGGTGAACAGCCGGGAAGCCGCGTCCTCCAGGCTCGTCGCCGGGGTCGTTTCCGGGTCCTCGTGCACGTACCGCGACAGCCGCCCGTAGAACGCGTCCAACGGACCCGCGGCCGGTCCTTCGATGCTAGCGTACACGTCCGCCAGCACCCGGACCGTTTTGCTCTTGGACTTCCGGATCATGTGTGTCATGTGATCTGAAACGATAGTTTTCGAGATACAATATATTATAATATAATACGGATGTAAGTATAATAATGGTTACATAAGATATTATATTATTATATTATATAGTGTCACGCTCGTGTTTCGGTAAGTACCTACCTATTATACGTAACGTAAGACGTATATTATGTAATATTGAACCGCTAAATACAGAAAAGATACATGTGTCTAGGTTTTAAAATTGTTCAGGAAAGACAAATATCTTAATAACCCTAAGAAAAAAGTTGAATTACAACTTTAAAAATATTGTTATATATGTCATGAAATAATATAGTAAAATACATGATAATATTATGTTTCTACAATTACTTGAAGAAATATTATAAAACTCATAGGTACTAAAAGGATTTATACTTCAAATTGCTATTCATTTTAAGAAAAACGCGTTTTCTTATAAAAAAAAATAATAACTTTATATTTTAAGACTACCTATTGAAAATTATAACAACATTATTATATGATAATATTATGCAGTAGATAATGAGTCACAATTATTTTATTTTATAGCAATTTGAATTTAATATTGTAAATTTTAAATTTAAGTATTGGAATATTTTACTTTATTGGTATGTTTTTTTTCTTGTTTGAAACATCTCATTTTGTAGCAAAAATATATCATTGTTTCTAAAATGATTGTAAAGCAGGTTTATAGGAATATATTTTAGTAGCGTAAAATCTTTAATTTTGCTTTCAAGGATTGGTAAGTTTGATGGGCATCGCGTTGTTTTTTCTCAATTTGAAATGGTAATTGGTATGATATTATTCCATCAACGAATTCACTTGTCTCAATTATTCAAAACTGATCTGATACACAATATTATTATTTGCAGAGACGCGTAGGAAACGTCGAGAAAAATTGGCGGGTTTAATAAGCATGTGATCGCTTCTGATTTCGAAATTCAAACGACCCTGTACAATGTATTATAAATTATAATGATATGAGGCCGAGATGGTAAAGTGATACCTTATTTTATTATTATTATTATTACGGGAGGAAATTAGAACCGGTGCACGATTTGATGCGTCTAAGGTCTGCATATTATCCCAACGCATGCATGCACGCGACATCATATTAATATAATACAATATTACGTTGTTACACTGATTTAGTCTTATATCCGCTCGGCGATGACGAGGATTTCGAAAACACATTCAAATCTCTATTAATTTTCCTTTTTGTTTTTCTTGCCTAAAGTTCCGCAAAAAACATTAAACTAGATCGGTAATCTCGAAACAAAAAAAAAAAAAAAACAAATCGGTTTAAGTCGATCTCGTTGAAAATTTTAATCATGTATCGTTATAGGTGTAAATTATAGGTACCTACGACTATAATATAAGAAAAAAAACAAATTTGAAAAATAAAAAAGGTAGGTACACCTATACATGTATTTAAGGATTTAAGCATGGCTGTTATGATAGCAATTAACAGTACTCAAATACTTAATAAAACTGCCCTCGACTATACACAAAGATACAATAAAAATATAATTTGCATACTACATTTGCATACTTTGCAGTTTGCACAGACTACGAGTAGAATTTAAATCGAGTATAAAAGAAGACAGAAATAATTACGATCGTATATTTTTATTACTGCGATTTGATTTTGAATACTCGACGTGGATTTGTGTAATAGTGATTATAATTATTATACCTATTATATTTTAATATACGGATATAATGTGTACGCGTATAGATCATTAGCTAAATTCATACTCGTTTTAGCTTATTATATTATGTTTTATGTGCTCTCCAAAGAAAACGTACAATTTATAATCACCAACGTACCTTGTAAATATAATAATAAAATATTGTAATGGCATAAATTATATAATATGCTAATTTCTGTCGACTGCGCATATAATATTATATACGTACAACGTACATAATAAACTGATATTAAATTAGCACAACGATCGTACGCACCGCAATTATGTTCAATCGAAAATATTAAGATATAGTTCGCACAACACACACACAATCTTTAGCAAATATAATTCGTGTCTTTAATTAGGTACATCATATGGACGATTACGCAGCCATTAACAAGTCGAACTTAATGGTATATAATCATTTCGCAACTAAGACTTAGAGAGTTGACGAGTCCGACGACAATCGAAACGATTGATATATATTATATACAGCTGTAGTAATAACATATTATATTATAATAACAAATTATATAGGTCAAGTCTCGGTGACACATGTGATGCCCGTCTCTCATCCAGGCGTGTGCACCCTAGTGCGGTATGCGGTAGCTGCAACGGTTGCCCATCAGTATAGGTACGTCCTATATACATATGAGTTATGATAATATGTGCATTTGCAGATTAATCGACGACGAATATATACGCTGTCGTTGTAAGTATATAACAGTAGAATGGTATACGAGGTGATCCATTTAACTTAATAAGACACTCATATTATTTCAGAAAACACAAAATATGGTTTGAACGTATTTCTTTCACATAAACTTAAATGATTATTACAAAATAACATTTTAAGAAAAAACTTATAGTTTTTACCATTTTTTATCGTAATCTATTTATAAGATTTTATTCTTTTGAAAACGTACATTTTAAATTTCTTATTCTGCAACAGAATAATATTCGGAGTATTTATATTTATAGAAATCAAATTCCGGAAAAGTAGTTAATTTGTAATAACTTATAAGTATTTGAAGTTTAGACGAACGATGTAGTGAAACTAACATTTTGGGAGGTACCCCTGCACTACTCCGCTCCACTCATCAAGACTTTAAATACTTATTAGCTACTCCTCCAAAATTCGATTTTTGTACATTAATTAACTAAAAAAATATGGAATTAAAAATGCATGACGTGTTTTTTAATGAGTGTGATAAAAAAAAGGAAAAAATTAAAAAACAATTCAGTAAAAAGTAACATCTTTTAGAAAAAAAAATGTTTTCTGACGACATAAAACTAAGTAAAAAACTTATTTTCAAAGCGTTAATAGTTTTTGAAATGTTGAAGGTCTTACGTTAATTGGATCACTCGGTATATTATATAGACATATTATTTTTGGAATCGGATCGTTTGCGCACGCACTCTGTACGTGTGCCGTGTGGTGTACTTAGAGTATATATATATATCATTATTATACTCGTTGTAGGCTGTTATAAAATTATTAAGTACGGTAGGGCCGCGGGTAACGCGCAACGGGTTTAATAAGGCGGTATAATATTATGTATTACGTGTATTTATAGATACGCGAGGAGAAAAATATGAAAACGAAATGAATAATAATGATAAAAAAAATCAGATTATATGAAACGGAATTAAAAGAGCGGTCGGAGGAGAGGGAGAAAAATACAAGAAACAATTGAATGGGACCAGCCGATCTGGACTGGAATGCAGTTTGCTATAGTGCCCGGAGGACGTCGCCCGCGGCGGCTGGGGGGGGGGGGGTCTATCGCTGGAATGCGGCGGCGGCGGCTTCGGCCGGCGTGTCGTGCGAGTGTGCAGTATACCGAAATGAACGTTTATTCACCGTCATTCGTCAACCGGGGTGAAAATATATTTTTATGTACGCCGTCGGGTCTTATAGGATATTATTATTGTATGTTATTATATTATTATTTATTATTATTATTGTCTACAGGGAGCATCTAATGTGAGGCCGACGGACCGACTCATCGTGCAGTGTGTGTGTGTCACGCGCATATACCGGCTAAACACATTATTGATAATAATAATAGACCGTACGTCGTAAGGTACCTATTATGTTATTTACGACGAGTTTGCGGACAAACCGGACTGCTGCTGCAGCTGTGAGCCGCGAATTGCGATCCAGACACACCAACGACCGGCGAAAATGGCGCAGCGCGGAGGCAATCCCGAAAGCGGAGTGAAACTCACGTGTACCGAGGTCTTATTCATTTCACTACAACAGGTGGCTACACTAGTAGTTCTCTGAGTACATTTTAGTGATTTAAAATTAAAAATGTTGTAAACATAGGTAGTCCAAACTCGACTTTGAAGTAAACAAAACTGTAGGACAAAAAGTTAAAAGTTGAAATAATATCTAAATGTCTTTACATTTTACGAAAAATATTTTATTTATACCGATTTTATAATCAAAGATTTATTTTAGAATATTGGACAAGTGGAGTACGTATGTAGCAGACCATAACTTTTTCTTGTTAGTGGTGCATTTTGTATTTTTGTCGTAATACTCCGTTCGTGTAAACGACTAAACTTATACATTTCAAATACTTATAAAGTTATAACTAAAAACCTATATAAATGTTTTTAGAAAAGTACCTAAGTAGGTACTCTGCATCTACAAAAATTACAAATATATGTTTTCAAAAATATAAATTATAATACAAAACTTTGTAAAAATATAATATAGCGATTAAATGAATACTTCAATAAGTTCAAACTATATAAAAACAATTTTATAGTCTATAGTCGTATAAATGTGGATAATAGATCTGTATTATATTTTATGAGATTCTTATAGTACCTATATAGTTAGATACAGGACTTCATATAATATATTATTAATATACTTTATTAAGCTTCCTTGCCGACAGCTAAAACGCACACATTTAACAGGTCTACCATGGTTTATATATTATTATGTGTATATATTATTGAAAACATAATAATATTATATAATGGGTAACACGAAAGAAAAAAGGACACCCCCATAGTGTGCCATAATTATTATTTGTAGCCGGCTAATAATTTCGTCTTCGTTCCGTCTATATAATATATTTTATATACAACATAATAATAATATATATATACCTACGCTGTTATTATCATTATATATACGCGTTTTTTTTTTTCAAAAAGACGTGAAAAGAAAAGGACGGTCGACAATCGCCATAACGGCATAACGCAATGTATATGCGGCACAACCCCTTGCTGCTCCTGCTGCAGGTCGAGATGGTTATCGCCGCTTGGTATAGGTGATTATTAAATTATTTTTTTTTATATGCGTTCGTTATTGGATAAACTATTTTATATACTCTGTCATTTCATAACGCCACGGTACGTGTACATGGATATAAGATATATTGTGTGTTCAATACACGTAGGTACGATATACGGTGCGAGACGTTTGGGCCGAGGGCGGTTCACACGCCAAAACAATATTACTGCATGTTCACCGTTTAGGTGCGATTAAATACCGTTTTATTACTCTTCGATAACGATATAATATATATATGGTATATTAAATATTATTTTATATAGAAGGCGGAATCTTTATTACGAATTGTTAGAATCGGATTTAGTTGATCAATAGACATTTTGGTATTACACTATTTATACCACCAATAGGTGGTAAAATTATTATGATAAAAGTACGAATACCGGTAACCTAGAATTTACGGACTACTGTCGATACATTTCAGAAGTTTGGACTTTTGCGGTTCGATCTTGGTAAATTCTAAAATATACAAATGAATTCGGTCAAACTATGAATTATTATTGTAGTTCTGGCCTTTACAAACGAGAAATGTATCTCTTGGTATAAGGTATACGTCTTATCTATTACGAAATACATAAATATCTTAGAAACTAAAATGTCTGAATCAAATACGTTGAAGTAAAATTTATATAACGTGGAAGTAAAAATAATATACTTCGTTATACACCACTTATAATATTGTTACGTCTAATAATTTAAAGGTTACTGACGAAAAACCAATTTGTCCAGAGTAAAATGTCGTATCTAATATTGCACATAATACAAGTCGAAAAAATGTTTGAGAGCGAAGGAATGATAAAACCACAGCCTTTAGTCTATATATTAGAAAGTCTAAGGAAATTGCTAACCTATATTATAATTAAGTGAGGTATTGTTATTTAATAAAAATTTATAAAGGACAATTCTAAAACATCAATAATGAAATTGCTCTTTTTTTCATAAATGAATTGTAATTGAAACAGTAGAAAGTAGCGTAAAATGTACACCTTTTTTTACTTTATTATATATTTTAGTATATGAAATGAAAGACTTTAAATGTAATATAATCCTATTTGTTTTACATTCTAAGAAATACTTTTCATTTTAATATAACACAAAAAATATTTTAGTTATTATAAAATATTGCTACTTATAATAAACGTTTTAAAGTTAACATATTAGTGTTCCATAATATTAGGTTTTTTTTAAACAATATGACAACATATTTAAGTAGTCTAAAAAGTATTTGAAATTAACTATAAGTAAGATAAATGAGAAAAAATTCTATGAAAGTAATGGCTACACAGTTGAGACAAACTAAGAATTTTAAATTATCTAAATGTTCAGGTCACTGCACCGGTTCCGTTATAGACGGATGGGCGGGATCCCGAGAAGTGCGTTTGAAGTAAAATTACTGATGACTGATGAGCTATTTGGAATTGGATTAAAGTTTTGCATGGGAATGTTTATAAAAAAATGTAGTAGTTTCATTGATTGAACGGATTTTTGCGGTCAGATTTTAGAGATTTGTTTGAGAAGTACCTGCAGGGAAATCCGGCAATTAGGCGAAGGAGGATATTTTGAAAGGCTTGAATGATTTTATGTTATTAGAGTTCCCAATAAAAACCCTGAGGACAATCTCCATAATGGTTTGGATTTGTATCATGAAATATATGTAATACGATTTTCATACAGTCCACATTATACCTATATTATTATTACCTACATACTCGGGTTGCGAGCCAAATCCCGGAAAATTAGACAGTTTATAAGGTCATCCACATATACATATTTAGAGTTTTATACTTTGATATTAAATAAAGTTCAAGGGATTATGTTAAGTTCGAGCGTGGCAGTGTCATAATAAGTGAAGTGTGCAGTTCAGCTTCTTGCTTTTATCCTCAAGATGAAAGAACCAACTGAAGTGTCTGTCTAGTATAAGATATCATATTTACTAATATTTACATGCATACGTTTTATATGTGCAACCAATTGCGCCGAACCATAAAAAAAGGTGTGACACAACTTTTCTTAATTATTACACCCACCTACAATTTACAAACAATTTAAGTAGAACTGAGTGTTGAATTTAAATTAACCACAAATTGCTAACCTTTAATAATATGTAAGTATACCCTAACGAAACTTGACCACGATTACACGCGGTAACCAACCACCAACCCAACCCTTCTAAAAAGGTGTGCCGCGATCACTGCACCTTTATAGCGTACCTACCTATTCTGTTCCACTGCAGGGTTAAGGCAACTATTGATTTATTACGAAAAAAAATAATGAACAATGAACATACATAATTTATTAATAATCAAGGTGTAGTAACTAGTAAATGCAAATTGTCGGTTAAATCAAAAAAGACAGTCTTTGGTATTTTTCCCAGAGTGTTGTCTATTTTATACGTATAAAGTACACGTTATAGCCGCATAAACGCATAAGAGCAGAACTCGAAATCCTACTCGCTACGGATCGAAATAACCGTTTAATAAATTCATTCATGACCGGTCTTATACATAGCGATTTCTGTGACTTTTTTTCGCTGATAACATAATGTAGGCGTAAAATTATAATAATAATAGTAAAAGATATCCCTGAGGATTTTATTTTTATTTTTATTTTTACGACCGACCGACCGCCTTCGCATGTATAAATAAGCCATAACATAACATTATATATATAAATAACACACCAGCGGGGGCGCGTGTCGTCCCCGGAGCACATTTTGTGTGTATTTTTTCTCTCTCATATTTTTCTTATTTTATTTTGTTTTCTGTTTACCTTGCAAGTGATGGGCGGTGGAATTGAGCAGGTCATAAACGTAGCCGGCCTGAGCAGCCAGGTGTCTCTTGTATTCGCTGTCCACCATGTCTATCAATCGAGCCTCGGTGGCGGCGTTGCAACAGCTCTTCCTCGACTGACACACTTTCAGATTGTCTCCTGCAAACACAAGAAAACGATAAATTACTTCCAGAATAAGACGTATTCATCGAACGGCACATATATCCGACGAAATGGGTAATAAAACGTCGTATGTGTACATTTATACATATATATTGTACACGAGTGTACTTTTCTGTCAGAACCTTCCTGTCACGACGAGGATCCCGTTGTGGGCAATAATAATTCATTGTAATCAACATGTCCGAACTATATCGTTATTATTATTATTATATAGTAAACCATACGCCGCGCCGTGGACGGTCGCCAAAACACAATTTTAAAAACCTCGCTACAGTATCTTTGGATGCCGGGGACAGCAGCTGCAGTTTGTATATTATTGTTGTTGTTTTTATATTTATACATTTTATTTTAACCTCAATCGACCACAGTGTTCCAAATTTAGGAAAGGGATAGGTACCACTGGCCCTCGATGATCTCCAAAATATTTTGCAATTTATATAGGTACAATCTGAATAACTCAATACTGATAAAATATTTAAGCATAATTATGTACAACATGTGTTATAGTTTTATTAAGTGTTATGCTTGTAAAGGCTAATCGTGATTACACGATAAACACGCTTGCCTATATTATATTATAAGTATAAATGTATAATAGTCAATAGACAATACACTCTGTAACTTAGACACTAATGGATCAATTCATTAAAATTTAATTAATTTTAATCAACGGACAAAACTGTATCAAAAAGACTTAACAACACATTAAATGTTGCAAGACTGTAACGTCATAGCTGTACCATTTTATTTTAAGTTCTTGGATAAAATCCCATTAAAATAATTAATTTACTGAAATCGTGTTTAAGTAAGATCCCTCTGACCCATTGCTTTCTGACATAAATATCAATCTAAATCCCTACAAAAACACCGAACGAATTAAGTAATTGGGCTTCGAGCCAAAGGTGAACTGGAACTGTACACAACTTGAAAATAGTAATATTTACTTAACACGCTTTAGTTTAATGATCTGAGCGGTTCCTTGAAATAACATTAGTAACATTATACTGTCATTCGAATTTATTTTCATATGGACCAACCAAAATATAAATCAAACCAACTATACTTAACTTACTGAGATTTCAAATGTGATCGTTTATAATGGTTCATACTCAATTTACTGTACGGTAGTTTTATTGAGTTATAATTTATAACTCTATAGTCATTAACAAATATTGTCAGTTGTATTTTGTACAAGTATTTAATATTATATTGATTTAACGATCAATTAAAAGTTAATGAAAAGATTAATTATTATTCAGTACGGATAACCCGTTCGTACATATTAGGAAGTGTGTATGAGTAATACACTTTTTGGTCCTAGCTGACTATTATGACGTATACAATAAAAATGTGCAAAGTACGCCGATAGCATTTAAAAAGAAAAATTATTCTTGTGGATGAGTTAGACATATAAAAACAAATTTGTTTTAACCTGTATCCATCTAAGACTTGCATAGTATGTATCTGCCTATAGTAAGTTGTATATAATTGATGAACGATAATGAATAGTAGTATTTATTTATTTTCATCTCGAATTTTTAAATGATGTCAGTGATTATTTTATCACAATATACAATGGACATTGGATACCTAGTTTTCAACTTGAAAAATTACGTGGGTACCTATACAATATACGCTATCATTAGTTATTTTTACCGTGATTTATCAAGTGTCGCGCCACTCGCCAGCGATATAAATCGTTTTTGCACCTCGGACAATTTCCTATATCAATTTATTATACGATACGGCATATTATATTATTATATGCAAACGTTGAGTTACGACTTAGTTTGTGTTTCCGTTCGATCGCGACGAACGTCCCAATTAAAATTTACAAGGCGAGATGCGAAAAAAAAATAAAAAAATAATAAATTAGTAAGGCTATATGTGCATTTTATAATCCATTGTTCAATAAATTATAACAGCAGCACGTGACATCGGAATAAAAGGCGAGCTGCAATCGTTATCACGTCTTTGTTGGACATTAATATTCAATATGCTCGAGAATTATTATATACCGATGCCGAATATGTATGCTGAAATCGGCTCGTATGAATACTTAAATAGTACACCGACTACGATATTGCCGTGTACCTATATCGACAAGGGCGCTAGGACAAGAATATCAAAATGTCAAATTTTCGAGTCGAAACAAAATATTGTATACCACGTGTTTGTAGGGAGGACGTGATGCAGTGCCGTCCTTCTAATGCAATACACATAATATAATACTGCAGCAGCAGTAGGTACCTACACAGTATCATGCACGACTTCTGTACGATACTTTGAAATATTATATGTATAATAATACAGTCATCCGAATCTAAATGGATTAAACTATCGCAACGACTTATTGCCCGCCGGAGTGTGTATAGGTATACAAAACAAATGCGCACACCCAAGTAATAATTTATACTGTGATATATGTTATATTGTTATTTACGTTTATCTTTTAATCCGTCTTATTGTGTATATTATAATATGCTTAAGTATAGTTACCGCGAAAATGCGATAGATCAATATATAATATTCGTGTGTGTATTTATAATAATATACGATTCGGTCTTTCACGGGTCGTTATATACAACAACACAATATAATAACGCACATATAATATATTATGTGCGGCTTTTAATTTTCAAACGAGAAAAGGAGAGAGAGGGAGAGAGAAAAAAAAACAATCGGTACCGAAATTTCGGGCACGAGTGAACGTTGCCGAGAAACCCGACACCCGCCCCATAGTTGAGATGAATTATTATGTCCACAGATTTTACGGTTTGCGTGCGTGTGTGAGTGTGTATGTGCGAGCGAGTACCGCGCAAGGGATGATAGAGAGGACACCCGTGTATGCGCGTTATTATCGGTCCCTTTAGGGGCAAAAGAAAATAATAATAACTTGGCGACAATTGTGAGTGAGCCGCACGCATATAAATCTTAATGTCTTCCGTACAAAAGACAGATTTTTTTTTCTCTCTCTCAATAGGAACCCGCACCCCGAGGGTTGTGCGTTGTATCGGAATGTTTGTGTATTCAGAGGAAATCGAGGTTAATTTTTTTTTTTTTTTTAAACATTCTTCTTTCACCCGAAAAGGTACCTGCGGCGGGCCTTTAGCGCCATAAAACGCCAACAATGGCCCAAGAGAAAAAAAATAACGAAGGACACGTCGTCACCGTCCCGTGTAAATCAGAGATGCCTTTCATAGTAAAGATAGGTTGATATAGGCGCTAGGCAGGCTGCCGGTAGGAGTCAGGTTAGGTATACGCACACAACAGGATTTACAGAACCATTTTTTCTTTATATTTTTCTCGAAATCGTTATATGTATTATTTTCAGACGGAAGTAATAACTTTTCTCGCACTCTGCGCGGCTGTGTTAACAATATAATATTATATAATATATATTATATCTTATAAAGGATTATACGTAAGAAAACGGCTTTGAAAAATTGTTTCCATCTTCGCATAATATACCTACCTACCTACCGCATTTGTAACAAATTTTTTTAAAACGAAAACGTCACCGTATTACGGTAACCCTCGTTATAAATTCATGAGGAAGTAGTCCTTCACTGGGTTATTGTAATACACACGAAATACGATACACGATCACCGATTCCGGAAGCTGGAGGAATCATATTGTTGAGCAGCACGTAGTGCACATATATGTACGTAGGTACTTGTAAACCCGTCATTTTCGGTTCGGTCGCAATGTTGACCTTATTTTAATAATGATAATAAACACTTTTCAACTCGTTTCCTTTCAGACGTTCAGTCTGAACATTAAACACACACTTTCTGTTCCGTAGAAGTTTCTCTTATAATATATACACTGCAAGAGGTATTTTCCCAATTGAATGCACCACAATAGACACGCGTGTTACACTTTTCGATTTTCAAATCAATAGAACAAAGTCCAGACATCGATATTATTATTATTATTAAAATAATAATAATAGATATCGAGAGTAAAGATAATGATCGACGATTAGAAAAAAAAGTACCTAATACTAACCTACCTATATAGCCACCTACCAACCTACACATAAGTAGTTGAATCAACTTCGTCTTTGAAATTTGTTCATTAAAATATACCTTATATTATAACCAACGAATTAATTTAATAATATTAAGATAGGAATGGTAAAAACATATTTTATAGTCAGAAAAATTTAAATGACAATATTGTGCTCTTTAAAATATATAAAACATATTTTACAGTACCATACTACCATGTTATAAATATGGCTGTGTTAAACGATTAAATATATCATGTACCTAGCTAAACGTTATTATTATCTTAAAACTAATTATTATTCTAATATACTGTTTACGTCAAGTCCAAAAATTACGTTTTCGTAATAACTCCATTATATACTTAACATTTAACAAAACGCGATGACTGTAAGCCTGTCCGGTCGGGGATTCTACGTGTTTTTTTTTTTTTTTTAATAATATCGTTATGGCCTGCGTGTGTAATGACCGTAATCAGGAAAATACATTTTTATATGTATTTTTTTTTTTATCTTGATTAATGTCTGAGCGTTATTATTATTATTATTATTACACCAGCTGTGTGCCTATGTGTACAGTGTAAATGTTCCGCTACCAGCACAGGAGTCGGAAGTAAAATCAATTCGAGCTGGTTCGTTAGCAAGCGCGCACACGACTATATACTGCTTGAATACATAGCTATATATATATATATTGTATATTACACATTTATACATTCCAAAACAGTTACCGCAAAAATTCGGAATTAGCTGGTGTTGGTGCTTCGATACCGAAATTGTTTTGCTCAACGCTTTAAGCTCTTCAAGTGTCAACAGTATAGTTACTATATAGTGAATAATAATAATATGTATTATTATATATATATAATTACTATGCATTTTTAAGAACGATATTATTATTATAATTATATGATTATTATTATTATTATCGTCTAAATTAGTTATAAATATAAATATTTTTTTAAA